TTTAATACAATGGAGTACTACTCAGTTATAAAAAAAGGATAAACTTGAGATATGTCTAGGTGAATAGTTGCACCTTGAGACCAGACTCTTAAGTGACATAAACTGGATACTTATGTGTAAATATCACTCTGGTGTGAGAAACTGAAAGTGTAAACAAGAACCAAAATGTGTAGCAGGTATTGAAAATTAGAAGATAATGTTCAAGTGGAAAAGAGAACTAGTGAGGGGGTAGGAGGGAAGAAGGGAAAAGAAAAAAATGAGAAAAGATGGAAAAATGAAAACAAAGGTTTTGTAAATAAGGAGGGGAAGAAGGGTTGAAGGGAGAGGAGGGGAATGGGAGAAAAGAAGAATCAAGAGATACCATGTACAGGTACAAATTCCCTATGATGAATGTGATCACTGTGTATATCTAAAATGTACCAATAAACTTAATTAATGAAAAAAATAAAGTGGCAGTTGTCTTACTAGGGTACTGCAGAACCTTATAAGCATAAACATTCCCTGGGGTCTCCACTAGAATTCTGATTTCACTGCATGGGATGAGATTTGGTCAACAGTATTTTTGCAGTCAAATTTTCTAACAGAGAGCTGTACCTCCTGGCCAACAATATTTTTAGAAAAAGCCACCCAGGTAATTCTGCTTCCCTCCTGGCGGGCTCTCAGACTTTCACCCTGACCCTTCCCTGAATCCCCACCTTCCGGAACTCTGGGTTCAGCTGTAGTGTCACTGTCCGTGGGAGGTTCGTTTCTTCCCCAGAACTTCGATCGTTTCCCTCAGCACATGTGCCGGGATTTAGGTCGTTAGTTCCCTCGTTTGGCAGCTGTCCCTTTCCTGGTAGGCTAGAAGCTTCTGGGGGCCAAGCCTCCTTCTCCGTGAATGCCAGGCAGAGTCTGGCACATAGGTGCTGGCCGAAGGTGTGAGGCTTAATAAATAAAAAACTGCTTCTTTCTGCGGGCCCTTATTCCATTATTTTTCTTTTCTTTCTAGGATCTTCAGATTTTTTCCTACTTACCCATTTGCCTGAGTCTAAAACCACACTCAGAACATTGCCATCCTGTCAGGCATGACTGGTGCAAGCCTGAATCCCAGTTGCTGGGGAAGCTGAGGCGGGAGGACTGTAAGTTTGAGGCCAGCCTGGACAACTTGCTGAGACCATGTCTCAGAACCGTAATTAGGTAAATAAGTAGAGAACTTCGATCGTTTGCTCAGCGCTCCCTGGGCTCAATCCCCCAGTACTGAAAAGAAAACTTCTCATCCCAAATCAAATATATACAGGAACTTTCTCTTTGCATCCTCCTGTTCTTACTTTAGTTCTTTCTTCTGTTAGAGAAACAGCTTAGCCTGAGGATAAGAAAGTCAGTCTGCAATCAGATTGCTTGGGTTCAAGTCGTTTGTTGCTACCTACTAGATTTACAATTTGGGGTAAATTATTTCATGATCTTGTCCTTCATTTTCCTCCTCCTTCAAGTGGGAATAACAGTATTTTCCTTCCAGGGTCTCTGTGAGAACTGAGTGAGGTACTGTATGTAAATGGTATATGATTTCTAAGTACTCTGTAAATACATCCATTATTGTTACAATACTGGGTTCCTTATAGTCAATCTTCACTGGCTGTTTCTGCTGTCTCCATTTCACTGACCTCTCAACCACTAGGAAGGGTTCTCTGCCCCGAAGCATCACCCAACCCATAGCCTTTGTTATGTTTCACTTATTTAGATCTTGCTGAGCCTTGGAGCACTAGTGACCTCCTCCACTGTTCCCTTCTTCACTCACTGTTTTCTTTTCTTACCTTTCTAGCTGTCCCTTCTTCAGGTCTTCACAGTTTTCTTCTTCTGTGCCAGCTCCAGGGTTTTGTCTTTAGCCTCTGCTTTCTTACTTTTTCATTCAACTTGGCTAGTTTTTACAGTTTGCAAGCAGCTCTTTGTTGATGAAAATTCCCATACTAATATCTTTACTCCGAACCTCTCTCCTGAAATATAGATCAATAATGATTAGGGTTCCTGAGACCCTTGCATCTCGGTGTCCTAGATAGAGGCAAGATTAAACATGTCCAAGGCAGATTACTAACTTTCCAGCAAATCATCTCCCTTATTCTGTATTTCAATTAATTATTACACTCTTTGTAAAATATTTGCTATTTGAACCACAGAGAATACCCTCTGAATGCCTGACAAATGGCTACATTCCCAAGGGAACAAAGAAACATGGATTCAAGGCTGGTTAGTTACCTGCCAAAATTAAGTACGATACTGTATGGTGAAAAGAGAATAGGCTTTGGAATAAAACAGACTCTAATCTGAATCTTAGCTCTGACCTTTCCTGCTTGTGTGACCTGACATGAGGATGACACTGCTAATCTCTTAAGGTTGTAAGGATGATAAAGTAATATAAGGACACAAGGCACTTGGCACGTAGCAGGCACATGAAATGGTAGCTTTTTGTATTCTCACACTAGACCAGTGACGGCGAACCTTTTAGAGCTTTGAATAATAACAAACAGCCGGCTGCAGCACACGTGCCATAGGTTTGCCGCCAGTGACCTAGACTTCACTTGTAAACCTAACTTGACTTATAAGCTAATGCATTCTGAATCCATGAATTTCTCCCTGACCAGGACCAGTGGTTGCTGAAGATGTTGGGATCAAAATGCCTCAAATTATCTACTTGGAGGTGTGAAACTTGCTTGGTGAGGTCAACTAGCCCATGTGAGGTGCCTCTTCTGGTACCTGGTTGAAGATCTGATTTCCCATGGGGCTAGTTGGTGTGCTTTCTTGCATATCAAGTTACATGGTAATTCCCCCCCCCCCCATGCCTTCTCAGAACTCTGTGAAGCCTTTTCCTTTTAACTTTTAATTTGTCAAATCCAAATGGATCCAGTTCAGGATATCAACATCACAGCTGCTGAGATGAGACCTGGGGAAGCTTGATGGGGTGGGAGTAAGATACTTTAGGCTCTGTAAAAGATGCAAGAGACAGAGAAGATTTTATATCTTAAAGAATCAGAGAAAGAATTATAATCACTATTTTCTCGAGTAAAATGCAGGTTGAACAGAAATTTTGTGGACGATAATGTGTCATTTCAGTGAACTGATTATAATCTATCCTTTAAGGTCTTAAAGATAGTGGAGGCCAGACACTTTCGGATGTGTTCTGTTTGAGCGCAGTGCTGGAGCATTTCCTTCTCTGAAAAAGCTCATATGCACCCGCGTTAATCTGCAGTGAGTGGGAAGTAGCCCTGGTGATTATGGCAAAGGTGAGTGTGGAGTCTGAGCAGGACTGAATGTGCTGCTGTTTGCCTGTGTGGGAAAGATTTTCCTGCAGCCTCCCTGCGAGTTGATCACAGAGGAGTAGAAGACACAGGTCAGCACAGTTCAGTACTTAGATCCCCAGCACTCATTTCTACCTCATTACTGTGTAAGAGAATCTGCAGTCCGCAGGTCACTGCAAACACCAGGTCGGTTTGAGAGAGAAAGAGAAAGAAGATGGGTTGGCATAGGTTATAGTGAATCAAAAGCATCAGAAAAAAGTTTTACAGGAGGGAGGAAGACAGGGAAGGTGGAGGGTGTTCATGTCCCTGCCATAGAATAGAATAGAGAGGTTAAAATCCCCCGACACGATGTGGAGTAACTAGTGGAAAGGCACTAGGGGTACCAATAGGGTGGTCCACGTGATCAGATCTTCAGTGCTTGGTAATTAGTGGTTATTAAGGTTGGGCTCCTCCCCTGCCACGAAGTCTGAGGGTAGGGGTCTCCCTTTCTTGATCATTACCTTTTATTTTCTTCTCCGTTGTGCTGAGTATCAAACACAGGACTCTCTGCTACTAAGCTATACTCTAGCCCCTGATGATTACATTTCAAAGGGGCAGATCCCAGATCCTTGAAAGGGACATATCTGGGTTATAAAAGGTGAAAGAGACAGAGATTTTACATTTGAGAGGAGCAGAGAAAGAATTATAGTCACAGTTTTCTAGAGTAAATGCTCTAAGAAAGGGCAGTCAGGAAGAAAACTGTCTAAAGTTTAGTTTAGCTGAGGGAAATGTTAAACTTATCTTAGTCAAAAGCCAATGGAAAAATTTCCAGTTGGACGCTTCTGGTGCACTACCACCCAGGTTGGTACAATGTTGCTGAAAAAATTATGATAGTTAAGGGTTTTTGCCCTTTTCCAAGCCATTTCCTTCCATTAGCGGAGGCCCTTTAACTAAAGTAAGAGACTCAAGTAGCAAAAGACTGGAATTCTACTAAAAGCCTGCTCTCAGATCCTTTACTGGGTTGGTAAAAGCTCAAAATAAGGCCTCCCTTTTAGGAAAATGTATTCTTGGCTCTAGACAGACAGTTATTTAAGCTCACCCATTTTCTGCTTCCCATGACTTATCTTTGTCAGGGATAGTTCAGGATTTAGGGTGATATTATTGAAGGGTTTAAGGCTTTGGGGTCCTGGCTTTGCAGTTAATAACCTGTTCTCTTGGGCATGTATTTAACCTCTCTTAATCTCAGTTACTTAGTACACAAAGGGGGGTGAGCCTAGCTACCCTTTAGAGATGCTGTAAGGGTTAAGCGACCTACTACATATTAAAACATTAGCTCAGCACCCGGCACATAGTAAGGGCTGATAAGGGGTAATTGTTATTAGTATGAGGTAATGTTTTTAAGTGCCTTTAAAGGAGAATTTTAATATAAAAATTTAAAAAGTGATGCACGCTTTTTCAAGTTGATGTACTTTATGGGAAGTAATATATTTTTCCTTATGTTTGTTCAGTCACAATGGTTGTGTACCACTAATACAATTTTCCAGGGAACAACTATTCTGGTTAGCATTCTTCAAAAATTCCCTTCCTTTTAGGTGATGAAACTTAATTAAATGGGGAGGTAATAAAAATGCAGGGTTTGGGGCCGCTAAGTATTGTCACTTGTTAATGAGTTTAGGGTTGATTGTGTCGGAGGAAAACTGTGATTAATCAGAACGTGCTGCTGGTCGAGCAGAACTATTTCTGGATGGGTGGGCTCCTTTGCCTGTCACTCAAGCTCAGGCGAAGTGAAGGCCTGGTGAGGTCTCTTTGTTCCTTTCCCAGCTGGAGGGTCCTGAGGCTCTGGGTAAGAGAAGATCCCTAAAGACTCCTCAGGAGATCAGATTTTCTTTAAGGTTGAGGGTTTTCTTTTTAAAGATGATCAGTCTTTAGAAAAAGAAATGAAATTAATCACCTTAGTTGTCCTCAGCTGTCTTCTGCCCCCTGGTTTTACTTATGTGGGTGAGGGGTAAGTGTGGGGCTTAGCGGCCCGGACAGAGGAAGACAGCCTCTGGCCTGTCTGATCGTGCTGTGGGGTAGGAGAGGAGTGGGGGAGGGCTGGACTGGAAGAGACCTAGGAAGGGGCTCATTTCACGTGTAGACTGACCCACTCTGATTTGACAGCCGAAGTCCTAGCCTCTGCTGACTGCTATGACCCGGGTTTGGGTGCTCGATGGATCAAAGCTTCCTTGTGGTGAGCCGCAGTGGGAGGGGTATGTATGTGTGTGTGGAGAAGTACCGCAGATGTTTGGGAATTTCCTGGAGCACCTCAGCCCCGGGCGTGAGGTCACACTACTGGGTGTTGTTAAGTGCTCAAAAAGGCAAGGATTTAAGTTTTATTAAATCACACCAGGAAGCAGGTATTTACTTTTGAGCTGTCTTTCAGCCCTTTGACCGTGTCAAGAAAGAAGGGTTTTGGTTTGATGCTAGGGTGCTTTGACTCTCTAAGTCTTATCACTCTTCATTGAAAAGATTAAAGGAGTCTGTTTAAAGAAAAACACTAACTCAACCATACTATGAGTGAGTGATGTTTTCTGGAGTATGCCCTGAGATATGCCTTCACGAAGAGAGATTTTTGGAGTTGAATTTCCTTGGTCATGCGTCAGAGTTGCTTGGTTTTTCAGGGCAAGGAAAAGAGGAATGTTGCCTGGATTTATGTAACTGTGTTCTCTCTTCTTCTGTCCTCTAGCTCTGAAAATCCAGAGCAGTTCAAGTGCATGTCAAATCCTGCAGCAAATTGGAGACTACATACTGCTATGTCGTGGGAACTTACAAGTCAAGGTAGATAACTGGCTTTCTGCATCTGCAGAGGTGGGCAGGGGAGAATCTCTCCAAGGAAACGCCAGCCGCCGGAGTCCTGTGTGTCATGGCGCTTGGTAAATTTATGAGCAGACTTTGTAGCAATGTCCCTGCCATGGGGGAAAAAGTCACACATGAAATTGAAAATCCTTTGACTTTTTGATCAGAATTTCTGCCTATGCAGGGTTTTAGGCTAAACGTCTGCTAGAAAATTGCATGTGCTTGCTTTGGCTCGTGAAGTGTATATATTCTTTCGTTCCTCAGCCCCACAGAAGCAGATCTGACCTTGTGTGAGGAAGGAAAGGAAGGCCGAGAATCCCTGGTAAAACTGTGAAATAGACAAAATATGTCCTTGATTTTCCCACACACCCTTTCCAAATCCTTCTCTCTAGCTTTAGCACCCTTCTCTTCCCCAGCCACTGGGTCAAGTCCTGTCTGGTTGCCTGGGGTTTTTCCTATAAAAGAAGAAATCCATTCATGAACTCCTTTCCAAGTAAGTTCTAGGATTTTTTTTTTTTTTTGTACTGGGACAAAACTTGAACCCTGGACCTTGTACTTGCCAGGCAGGCGCTGTGCCACTGAGCTATATGCCTGGCCTGGGGATGTTTTATTTTAAAAGAGGATTGATTTCTAGGAAATGCAATGAAATCAATGGCATTAAAGTAATTGAAGTTAATTTGGACGTGATTACACGTGGGGCCTGCGGTGGGGTGAGTTCCAGTCCTCTCAGCCGTGCCTCGTCCAAAGGGAGATAAGAGTAAGGCCCTAGCTCCCCTAGATAAAGCTCAGAGAAATAATGAGCTTGTGACTTAGAAAAAGACCAAATGAACCAGCTCTTTCTGGAGCCAACATAACCAGCTATAAAACTCGTGTACGTTATTTGTGGGCGGTTCCCTCCACATACTGCCCAAATAGTTTCTATGGTATTTTTTGTGTGTTTAAAATGTGAAATACGTTCAGAGAGAATGCCATGGTAACCCACACAGAAAAGTCCAGGGAAAACAACTTGCTCCTATAGTTTAAGCCTGAAATTCTTTTTCCACAGGGCTGTGCCTGCCTGATTTTCTATTGAACTGAATCTCAATTAGTTCAGTTGTATCTGAGGGGCAAATGCAGGTAGATATTTCTCTTGCAGGGCTATCAAAGTAAACCTAGAGTGAAAGCTTCTGAGCACCAGCCTCCACATAACCGAGGGGCTGTGGTTCTGATCCTTGTGCACGAGGCTGTTACTGACCCTCAGTTGATGGAAGGGCGCTGGTATGTCGCTTGGGGATACTGCCTGCCTTGTAACTGTCCTAAAAAAGAAGATATCATCCCTCAGAGTTACTGGGTCATCATCTTCTTTTAGCTCCGCTGAAGGGCCAAGGAGCTGCAAAGCCCAAGTGTGTCTCCCCCGCCCCCAGCTTGGAGCACACGTGGCTTCATTGGCCGTGGCCATGACTCATTAGTCAGCCGGCTGTAGGCCTGCCCACGAAGCAGCGGTTTCGGCCCTAAATGCAAGGCCGGCGCTCAGTAGCAACTGGGGGAGCCAATTAAGGAGCTTCCTCTCGGGACGGCTGTCTCTGGGGGACCCCAGGGTTCCCTGGAAGGGCCTGAGGCTGTGTGCTGTCATGTCCAATGAGTTGTGGAGTCTGTCACTTGATGGCTGCCTTTCTGGCTGAGTTGGCTCTTTTTTCCCTAATTAAACCTTGTTTTTTCCTCTCTAGGAGGAAGGGGAAACAGCCGTTTACTGGCGTAGCTCAGCCTGCCACGTTCTGCTCATGAAACGAGGAGGTACCTGGAGTTTGAAATGTTAACGGCAGCGCTGCTCATACACGCCCTTCAGACCGACTGAAACTGTGGGGACTGAAACAGTTCTCTCTCTTCCGCAGGAAAACACGAGTGAATAGTCCCCCTTGGAGGGGAGCGCACGGGGAGCGCACCACGGAGGCATGGGCGAGGGCTGCGGCTGTCCAGCGCGGGCGGCAGATGCAGGTTTCACGAAACACGTTAGGGCAGGGCTGGTCTTCAGCATAACCCTGAGATTGGCAAATGTAACCCCTGAGCCTCTTGGCTCGTTTTTACATCTGCTCCATCTCCTCGTGTGGCTCCTGCTCCCACGCCTGGCGCCCCGCGCACGGCCGCTCTCACTCCGAGTTCCGAAGCATCTCCTGCGCCAGGCTCCCAGTGAAATCCGGCCGTCCCGTGGGGCCTCCTTAGTGGCTGAATGTTTGTTAATGGGGTAAACTACTTTTGTGATATTAAACTTGGATGGAACAGGTGATATTTTGCCTTTCGACAGGGATCACCATGGTTTTATCTCATCGAGGAAACACACGGTGAGAACTCAGATTGGGGCACGGGCTGTAAAATTACGCTTTTAAAAAAGCAACCTCAGCATTTCTCAGAGAGAACGGTGTCCGTCCCGGTGAGGGAAGGCTTACATGTCTTTTTAAACAAGATTCCATTAACTTCCTTTCAGTCTCAGTTCAGGCCTCAGAAGCAAACTGGAGGCTTTCAGAGGCGTTTTCCTTTGGATTTATCAGGAGTTGCTGCCTAGTTTTTGGAGAGGAGCGCATTGTCGCAGCTATTAAATCATTACAGCCTCCACATTTCAGTCGGGTAGCTTGAGTGAGCCTCCACCCCGCCGCGAGAGACCCTCCGGAACTTGCCACCGCATTTTCGGGGAGCGAGACCGTCCCCCTTCATCATCTGCACTGTGATCACTTCCCCGCCTCCCAGTCTTTATCTCCATTGTCTCCCACATCTTCCCAAACTGATTTGGTCTTAAAATCCAGTTCCCATCTCACCACCCCGCAGCTCAGAAAAGCTTTCCTGGCTCTCTGTCGGGTGAGAATAAACACTTTGCCGTGTTACGGTTTAGAATTCTCATGTGCTCAAAGGTGGGGCTTTGGCATGGTGATTAGGTCACGGAGGTGCTGTACTCATTAATGAATGCATTCCTTGATGAGGTCATAGCTAAAGTGCTGCAGGGGTGAGGGCCTGGTCAGAAGAGGTGGATACTGGGGCCATGATCTGCGAGGACGTATTCTCGTCCCTGGGTCCTCCTTCCTCTCCTTCCTGGAGCCATAGGTTGAGCAGCTTTCCTCTGCCGTGCGCTTCCACCTCGCTCTTTCTGCCTTGGAGCCAGACAGCCATGCACTGGACGCCCTGAAATGGTGAACCAAAATAAATCTCCTTTAAATCACAGGGGTCAGGTATTTTGTCCCAGTGATGGGAGAGTGACTGAGGCGCGCTGGCCTCTTGAACATTTCATGGTCATAACACTGGCCGAAGGAGTTGGGGTGCGTGCGCAAGGGGTGGAATGGATATCGATGAGGTTCAGGAAGCAATATGACCTGTAGTGATCAACATTAGTGACGCTGGGAAGAGACCCAGAAGGGGAATAGCCGGCTCAAAGGAGGCCTCTAATTCCAGGTTTTGAGGAATTGATATATGTGCACCCATGTTTATAGCAGCTCAATTTGTAAGAGCTAAATCTTGGAAATAACCCAATTGCCCAACAACTGAGGAATGGATGAAAAATATGTGGTCTTTTTATGCAATGCAGTACTACTCAGCTATACAGAAGGATAAACTGGAGACTTGTATAGGTAAATGGATACAACTCAAGACCATATGCGCAAGTGAAGTAAACCAGACACACATGTAAACATCACATTGTCTCTCATGTGAGAAGCTGAAAGAGTCAATAAGATCCAACATATACAATAGATATTGTGAAAGGGAAAGAAACTGCTCAAAGAAAAGAACAACTTGGATGGGGGAAGAAAAAAAATATATATATACATAAGATAGCTAAGATAATTGTACCACTAATTTCTTCTGTTAGTTCATTGAAAGGAACAGTTTATGCTTGTGTTGTTTGAATAGTTTTGTATACCTATATCTTCTAATCTGAGCAACTACTTTGAAGATAACAATACGCAATATAATATTGATTGTTAATTTCCTATCATCTTGTTTTGAAATTCTGTACTATTGTTTTATTTTTTTTTTCTCTTTAAAATAAAAAAAGACTAATGTTTCAATCTCAGTACTACCAAGGACTCAGAATTTTTTTCTGAAAGATTTTTTCCTGCTATATTTACTATGTATGCTTACTATGTTTCCTAATCTTTTATTAATTAGAAGTTTACATCACTGCCAAGCAGAGATTCGACCAGAAGGAGTGAACCTCTGGTAATTCATAGAATTGAGATAACTTCAGCCAAAGGCCTATGTACTATAGTCAGTGTGGGTTTGCTGAGAACAACATACCATTTCTGTCAAGTTTTAAGAAACAGAGAAAGAGCTCCAACCCCTCACTTGTAGCCACAGGGAAAATAGACAGGGGGGTGCCAAAGTGTAGGAGGCCTTTCCCAAGTTACAGTCAAGTGGACTTCCTGGCTGTGCTCCTGCCCAGGACCTGTGATCTCTGTCAGAATGTGTCAGCACTGGAGGGTTACCATGCGGTGAGTGCTTCAGGGTCCATTTAGATTCCCAATTCTTTATCAGCACTTCTGGAAGAGGCCTCAGTAGCCTCTGTGTACCTCTCCAGCAGTCTCACCACTTAGAATGTCTGTGTAACCTGCTCTGTAGAAAGGAAGATAATGCTTATGTCCCAGAGCTGTGTTAAATTTCCTGCGCCTGACGGAGGCACACAACAATGGCTTACTTTTTAAAAATAAACGAAGTGTTGTTATAGTCAGGGTAAGTAATAGCATAAACTAACAGAGATGATAAGTGTCAGCACTTTGTGTTGAGTGCTCCAGGCCATTGCAGGGCTGAGAGAAAGAAATAACCTGATAAATACCCTGGGAAAATTGAGAGGTGTCTCGGGCTGGCTACATGAGCAGGTGTGGAGAGGGGAAATTCAGGGTCAAAAGATAACTGAGCTGTCGAATATATATAATTACAAAAAATGGCGGAACAGTTGGGTTTGGGAGGACTGGTGACACAGGATGGGGCGAGGGGCAGATGTCCAAGGGAGAGAATGACAGAAAGCAGATTTTCCCTCAGAATTTTCTTTAATCTGAATTTACTTTGTAGCAAGACTATGAAGCCACATTGAGGTATGTGGTTTTTTCATAATTGCTTTTAGGTTAGACTTCAGATGTGAAGGCCAAGTTGAAGGGGAGGCAGCTGTAACAACACTGGTAACCGTGGGTGCACGATGTCTTGGTGAGGGCCGTGTCTTTCAACCCGCCATGTTTGTTTCAGTGAAGACGCCATTCTGACTGTCACAGTGTATTTCCTCCGCATTTCTAGAACACAGACGTCTTCTCCTGTGAGGGAATGGGAGCTGGTCCTCAGTCAGAGGTGCTCAGTTGCCATCCAAGCAGGCCAGGCATCTGCAAGTAGCATGTCTTCCGTCAGGCTAAGGAAGGGTCTTGCTACTGCACTATTTGCTGACTGTGTGTCAGCTACTGGGAAAAACATGAAGGATATAAGAAACAGTAGTAGTTGTTTCTTGCAGGTCCAAGATCTTTAAGATTTGGCGGAATGGGTGGTAATCAGGCATTAAGGATGCTGACGAAAGTTTTGGTATTCTTCATGTGGAGAGGGAATGTTTCAACATACACATGTGCACACAACACACACACACACACACACACACACACACACACTTCCATGGAATTTGGTTTTTGATAACAGTTTAACAACTCATTATGTAGGAGATACTTTCTAGAGCTATATGGGTTGTTATTAGCTTTCAAAGGGCAGAAATACTTTGTAATAGTCTCTATTCAGCTAAAATCAGTTCCTTTTTCTTTTAAGTTGACTTTATTTTTTTTAAAGAAGAGTTAGGTTGACAGCAAAAGTGAGCAGAAGATACAGAGTTCCTGTTTCTCCCTTATCTGCTGCCACATATACAGCCACCCATTATCCACATCTTACACCAGAGTAGCATGTTTCTTACACTGATGAACATACACTATACATTATCACCCAGAGTCCATGGTTTTGGTTAGAGTTCATTCTTAGTATTGTATGGTCTATACACTTTGCCAAGTATAAAATGACATATATTTGTCACTAAAGTATTGTATGCAGAACTTTTATGCTCCCACTAATCCTTTGGGCTCTGCCTATTCTTGAGCCCCTGGTGCTCACTGACTTTTATCGGCTCTATAATTTTTCCTATTGAGTGTTGAGCCAGCACTGGTTGTAGTTTATAATCCTTTTTACACATTATTGGATTCAATTTGCTATGTTTTGAGGATTTTTGCATCTGTGCTCATGAGAGATATTGGTTTATAAGTTTTGAAAAAATCTGTCTGGTTTTGGTATTAGGGTAAGGCTGGCCTCATACAATGAATTAGGAAATATTCCCTATTCTACTCTCTACAGGAGATTATATGGTAGTAATGTAATTTCTTCATTATTTTTAAAATTTATTTTAAAGATAAAAGAAAGAAAACATATTAACAAACATCAGTTTACAAAATAGCATAGGAACAATACAAGCAATACAGAGTTACAGACAAAGTGATAGGAAATTAACAATGGTTGTTGTACTACGTATTGATATCTTCAAAGTTGTTTCTCAGGAAAACAACTACAGACATGCAAGATAGATCAAATCATTAACTGTTCCCTTCAGTAAAGTGACAGAAGTCAGTAGTACAACTATGTTAGCTTCCTGTATATACATACATACATAATTTCCCCTTCTTTCTTTTCTCTTTTCCCTCACCCCAGTTGCTCTTTATTTTTGACCATTTTCCTTTCATTTCACAATATCTATCATACCTCCTAAATTTTATTCACTCTTTCAGGTTCTCATACTAGTGAGATAATATGTTGCTCACACATAGAGGTCTGGTTTATTTCACGTGAGTATGGTCTCTAATTGTGGCTATAAACCTGTAAAAGCCTTGTGTTTATTTTTATAGCTGAGTAATATTCCATTATATAAAAGTACCACAATTTTTTTAGCCATTCCCCAGTGGATGGACATTTGGGTTGCTTCCACAATTTAGCAATTACAAATTGCACTGCTATAACATGGGTGCACATATATTGCTGTGATATGATGTTTTCAGATCTTCTGGGAAAATACCCAGAAAGGGAATAGCTGGGTTGAATGGGACCTGTAGACCTAGTGTGCTGAGGAAACTCCAAACTGATTTCCACAGTGGTTTCACCAGTTTGCATTCCCACCAGCAGTGGAGAAGAGTTCCTATTTCTCCATAGCCTTGCTAGCATTTATTATTGGTTGATTTCTTAATGATAGCCATTCTTACTGGGATCAGATGAAATCTCAATGTTTTTTTAATTGGCATTTCTCGAATGACTAATGATGTTGAATATATTCTCATGTATTTATTTGCCATTTGAATTTCTTTATCTGAGAAGTGTGTGTTCATCTCAGATGACCATTTTTGGATTGGGTCTTTGAATTTGGAAGGACTGATGTTTTTTAATTCTTTATATGTTCTAGATAGAAGACCTTTGTCCGAGGGACAGTCAGCTAAAATTTTTTCCCAATTTGTGGGTTTTCATTTTACTCTGCTGGAGATTGCTTTGGATGTGCAGAAACTTTTCAGTAGGATGAGATCCCAGTTGTTGATTCTTTGAAGTATTTCCCATGCAGTTTGGTTTTTGTTCATGAACTCTCTGCCTACGCCTATGTCTTCAAGATTTTTATCTACTTTCTCTTCCAATAGATTTAGTGTTTCTGTTTTAATATTGAGATCTGTGATCCATTTTGACTTGAGTTTGGTGCATGGTGATAGATTTGGGTCTATTTTCAGTCTTTGGCAGGTAGCAAGCCAATTTTTCCAGCACCATTTATTAAAGAGGCTATTGTTCTTCCAGTGAGTTTGTTTGGCCCCTTTGTCAAAGATTAGGTGGCTGAGTGTGTTTGTGTTTGTGTCTGTTTTTTCTAGTCCATTCCATTGATCCTCTGGTCTGCTTTTTAGCCAGTACCATGTTGATTTTATTATAGTAGCTTTGTAGTATAATTTCAAGTCAGGGATTGTGATTCTGCCTGACTTGTCTTTGCAGGTTCTTGGATACAAGTTACAAACAAAAACCCAACTACAGAAAAGCAGCTTTAAGGAGAAACCAATCAGATGAAATCTACTAACAGTATTGTTTAGAATAAGCAGGGCCACTTCTTGATCCCAGATCTGCTCACAGCTCAGGTCAGATGAATACACCGTCCTGGGAGAAAAAAACTTCAACCTCTAATGGAAGCGGTGAAGTGCAACAGCAGCTACTGGGCCACTGATAGGTGCCCAGCCTAGGAGCCACTGCCTAGTGCCTACTTGTCTTAACACTCCTCCCACTGGGCGACTGTCTTAGTTACTTTCTCATTGATGGAACAAAATATCTGACACCCACAAGTTAAAAGAAGGGAAATTTATTTTGGCTCACAGTTTGTAGAGGGTTTCAGTCCACAGTCATCTGATTCCAAGGCAGGGAGGGTTGGAAGGGGTGGTAGCAGAGGGGAAACAGTTCATGCTATTGGAGGCAGGAAATAGTGAGGGATCAAGGGACTGAGAAGGATATATGCTT